ATAGAATGAATGTAAAACTAAAGTTCTCTCCTGTAAACTATCACATAATTCACAATAAAACATTAAAAAAAAAAGAAGGATAAGTCCTAAATGGATGTCAGAATTGATTCTGAAATTTGCTTTCCAGTGTGGAGATGCTAAAGTAAAAGGAAGAAATGAGGAGGAGGTAAAAGAGCTGAACAGAAAATTTCAAAGGGCAGTTTGAGAAGACAAAGTCAAATATTATAATGATATGTGCAAAGACCTGGAGTTAAAAAACAAAAGGGAAGAATGCACTCAGCATTTCTCAAGCTGGAAGAACTGAAGAAAAACTTCAAGCCTTGATTTTTTGATACACACACACACAAACATGAAGTAGTATGCAATAGTAAAAGATTCTATGGGCAAAATAGAGCGACAAGTAGTGTTTAGCCTCCGGAGATTCACCAATACCAGGTCTGTGATGACCTTAGATGTCTGTGATGACCTTAGATGTCTGTGATGACCTTAGATGTCTGGGGCTGCATGTGTGCTGCACTGCCTGGATCATCCTGTCTGTGTCTATCCCATGCCATCAGGCATAGTTAGCCTGTTGAGCCCCATTTGTGATGGGGATCAGTGATTGCTATTATTTCCTATGATCTAGGAACAAACTTTCATTGATTAAGACCCTGCCCTTTGTACACACTGCCCGTCACTACCATTGCAATAGATAATATTTGTACACACTGCCCGTCACTACCATTGCAATAGATAATAATAAAAATGTTCCATAAATTAAAAAAAAAAAAGATTTATAGCCTCAGAAACCATTTGCTATGAGTCAGAAGTGATTTGGTGGCACACAACTACCACCATAATCACTAGGAGTAGTGAGAACTTTTCTACCATCTTTCCCCACAGATGTAGCCAGTTTGATTTCTGTGTATCCATTTGGTGAGATCCCTGTGTTTAAAAAAGGTTTTTGCTGTATAGACACTAGGTCAGAGATAACCAACTATGAGAGTGGGATATATGCTTATCAGTGGTAAAACACACACACACAAACATGAAGTCAGGGACAAAGTAAATTATTACATAAATTATGAAGAAATTATTAGAGAAAAATTTGAAGTTCATATCTCCAGATGATTTAATTCAAGTGACTAATTTGTAGGCAGGTATGCTGCAAAATTAATTGGTGTGCTCTTGGCCATTTCTTTGCTAGGCAGACATGGATAAAATTGGGTCTGGGTCTATAGGTACAAAAAGAGTAATAGCCTACCTTTTACCTGGGAATAGAAATGGGAGAATAATAGTCGGATTTTGGTTCATTCATTTGGTCTCCTTGACTGATCAATTTTCATGCACATTTGAATTTTTATCAAGGCGGCCTTCATATCCTTGTTCCGGAGACTGTAGATCAGAGGGTTTATCAGTGGGGTCACTGATGAGTAGAACAAGGTTACAATCTTCTGTATCCCAGCTGAATTTCCAGAGGTTGGGCTGATGTACATCGCCATGACTGTCCCGTAGAACAGAGACACCACAACCAGGTGGGAACCACAGGTGGAGAAAGCCTTATGCCTGCCAGCTGATGAAGGGACCTTTAACACTGCTCTGAGAACTAGGGTGTATGACCCAATGATGAAGAAGAAGGTTATGAAGATAATAAGAGAACTCAATATAGAACAGGAAAGCTCAATTCCAGGGGCTGGGATGCAGGATAGGGCCAGAAGTGGACCTGTATCACAGACAAAGTGGTCAATGGTATTGGGGCCACAAAAGGGAAGTTGTGTGATAAAATAGATAGGGACTGGATAGCAAAGGAAGGCTGTCACCCAGCAGATGGTCACTAAGTTCATACAGAGATGATTGGTCATGATGGTTGGATAGTGGAGAGGCCTGCAGATGGCCAGGTATCGATCAAAAGCCATGAGGGGCAGTAAGAAGGTCTCAGCGATGCCCGTGGAGAAGAAGAAGTAGACTTGGAGGAAGCAGGCTGTGAACGAGATGGTTTTGGTCTCAGACAGGAAGTTCTCTAACATATTGGGAACAGTAGTATTGATGTAGCAGATCTCTAGGAAGGAGAAGTTGGCCAGCAGAATGTACATTGGAGTGTGCAGCCTGTGATCTAGCTTCACTGCACAGATGATAGCCCCATTGCTCATCAGTGTCAAGATATAGGTAACAGAGAATAGCACGAAGAGGAAGAGCTGAACCTTTCTGGAGCACTGGAAACTCAGCAATATGAATTCAGTCACGGTGTTGACTCCTGACACATTCATGACTTCCTAAGGGGTGGAGAGGAAAAGAGTGACAATGACTCAGATGGCCTTTTTGCTTAATTTTCAGGAGGTATATGTTTCTTTAATTTTAGAGATTATGTTATTTTATTAAATAAATAATCTTACTTAACACTTGAAGACTGTTGAACTTTCAGAGCACTTAATATAATCGGATACTCTGAATCTTTGAACTCTGTCTAATTGCCCTTTTGGAATTTTCTCAAAGTAAAAATAGGATTATATGCAATCAACAGTTTTAAGAAGGTTAATAATAGTAGTTACAAATATCTGTAAGGAAATACGAAAATCCTTAAATATTGAAAGACCTTCAATATTGGGCATATAATTTCAAGTCCTTGGATCTTGGAATCAGAGACACAAACACTATGCATCAAAAGATGAGAAAAGGGGTAAGAAACAGTCTTTATGCATTTCAATTTCATTCTGAGTCAGTGTTGGAGTTATATTATTATTAATTTTACTTAGGTCTGTCTGATATCTCAGACCAAAAAAACAAAGTCAACTATACTGTCCTTTATTAGTGTTCATCAAGGACATATTGGAATGTCCAAAAACAAGTTATCATGGAGCTGATTCTGATTTATGGAGCTCCCATGTACTGCAGAATAGAACTGTTGCATAGGGTTCAAGGCTGTGACTTTTCAGTGGCCGATCACTAGGACTTTCTTCCAAGGCACCAAACTTTTGTTTAGTAGCCAAGAGCTTAACCATTTGCACCATCCAGTGACTTTTTTGGAACATCTAGGCATTTACAGTGTGGCTTTCTATTTAATTCTTTTTTTAATCATAAAAATTAAAATACTTCTGCTTAACCTTGGACTAAATTACAACTCTTATTACAGGTAGAAAAAGTGAGCAATTGATCTGGTATCTTATTTTAAGACTTTTGAGATTTTTTTTGTCTAAGGTATCAGGATTTCTAGAAAGGCTCCTATTAACTGATTTATAGATGAATGCAGATGATTACAAATATCAAGCACTCCCAAGCAAAGATCTCTGGGAATCAAAGACAAATGGTAGAGCCATAAACTCTTCAGATAAGAATTCCATCTCTGAAAGTGCCATGGGCTGCCAAAAGAATCAACGGATCTGTGTTGGAAGAAGTGCAGCCAGAGTGCTCCTTGAAGGCCAGGATGGCCAAACTTCATCTTTCATATTTCGGACATATTGTCAGGAGGGACCAGTCACTGGAGAAGGATATCATGTTTGGTAAGGTGGAGGGTCAGAGAAAAAGAGGAAGACCCCCAGAGAGATGGATTGGCAAAGTGGCAGCATCAGTGGGCTCAAGCGTGGCAACAACAGTGAGGTTGGCCCAGGATCGGGCAGTGTTTCATTCTGCTGTGCATAAGGTCGCTATGAGTCGGTACCGACTTGATGGCACCTAACAACAACAACAACTTCCCACTTCCCTCTATTGCTCTCATTCTATTATAGGTGTGACAGGCTGGAGTTATTTTGGAAAGTGGAGGAAGAACTTTGCAGTTCAGAAGCATACAAAATCTTCATTAAAACTCCCTTTGTAGAATTAGACTTAGTTTAGAATATTGTGTGACTTTCATTATGAGCATAGCAAAACAGGTACAATGAACTTAAAAAAAAGATTTTGTAACCAATTGTTGTTAAGTGCCATCGAGTTGATTCTGACCCACAGAGACTCTGTATAGGGTTTCCAAGGAGCAGCTGGTGAGCTTGAACTGCTGACCTTGCAGTTCAAACAGCTTTGCAGTCTGGCACATTAACCAACAGCCCCACACCAGAATAGTTTAGACTTAATTTAATTTCTGGATCCCCTTAGTTAGAGAGGCATAGTCTTTAATTGGGTCTAAGTGACCCCAAGTGACATAATTGAGTGATGGTATTTATTTAGAAAAATATAAGTCCAGAATACAGCCCCAAACATTTTAATATTTAAAAACAGCTAAGAGTATTTATTAATGCATTAATTATAAACTGTGTTGCTTTCCACATCACATAATGCCATACCTTTAAGGATGACCTTGATTATTGCAATTGGAGAAACAATGGGATAAGAGAAAGTCAGGATTTTTGCACGTCACACTTCGCTCTATAGCTCCTCTTTAGTCAATGAACAGATTGCCTCTGGTGTGGCAAATGTGAATATGTCTTCTGTAGCAGGAATTTAGAGTACCCACAAAGCCAAAGAAACAATGAGGAAAAATTAAGAAAGGAAAGAAGAAATAGTTCATAACTAAGGTATGTGAGAATTCCAATGGCTTTGCAAACCAAATGGAAATGAATTCACCAATCCAGTCTGTTTAATTATCTTGTTACTCTCCCAGTTTTCAATGGCTACAATCTGATCTGAGGGAGAGACAAACATGACTAAAAATGGGGAGAGATGGGATTTCTTTCAACTTTACTCTTCATAATCCCTCTCCCAGTCCTTTCTAGATGACAGTTTACCAATGTCTCTGCTCCCCTAAAGAACAAGGTTCTGATTGATTAATAAAGACAGCATTTATATACTGATCAGGTTTCTTTCTCACCCTCACCTCTCACTTCCTTACATAATGTAAGTCTCCTTACATTCATTCCTGTATCTTGAGGTGCTGTTGTTTTTACAGTCTCTCAACAGAAGGTGTAGCTAAACAGCAAGTCTAAGAGCTGTTCAATACTTATACTTAATATTTATTCTGATCCCATCTCCTCATAGAACTGGCAGATCTGACTTGTAGTCTTCTGTTTTGACTGCAACAAACGGCAGGCAGGATGGAAGACATGGCATCTTTGGTAGCCAGCAGTCAGAGGTGGGATTTATGTTTCTGGGCACACAGTATTGGTTTGTAGGGAATGTGATATACGTGCAATAGAACAGAGACTTATCTATGCTACTCTGAAATCTATGTCTTATTCATCCTAAGGGATATAGTCTCCTTTCGATTTTAATAGTGGAACTTTATGAAGGAAAATTGTCAGTCATATCCCCAAAGTTCTCTTCCCTTAGGAGTCCATTAATTGACTCTTGGGACTCAAGTTTTCCAGTGATGATCATATCATCTCATGTTATTTTTAGAGCAGATACTTATTTTGGTTCTATTGAAAGTTGCTGTTATGATGGTACAAACACCAGCAACAACCCCTTAGTTGGAACTCTAGGTTTCTATTGTTCTTCCTATTCTCTCACATTCAATGTTATTCTTTTTTTTTCTTTTTTTTTTTGAGTCTGTCAACACGTTTTGGACTCTTTTTCTTTGTTAACATTCAAGTTGACACTTGTTGTTAAGTGCTGTCAAATCAGTTTCGACTCATAGCCACCCTGTATAGGGTTTTCAAGGAGTGGCTGGTGGGTTTGAACTGCTGACCTTGCAATTCAAACAAACCTTGCAGTCCAGTGCTTGTCTTACAGTACCACACCAGGAATCGAGCATACTGATATTAGAGTTATGATTTTCTTTCCTATTGAGTCACTCAGGAGTCCTGGTGGTAGAGTTGGGTAAGTGTTGGGCTGTTATTGGCAGGGTCAGCAGTTCTAGTCCACCAGATGCTTCATGGGAGAACACCGAGGCTTTCCATCACTAGAAAGATTTACAGCCTCAGAAACCCATTACAGGGTCACTATGAGTGGGAACTGACTCGATGGCACATGACCAACACTACTACCATTGACTTGACTCACTCTACAGCTTGGGAGGGCCTTCTTTTTTTTTTTTTTTAGATAAAAGGCTTTCTATTCCGGGTCAGTTCTGATAGTGATAGTAAGTACCAGGCAAGAATACTGAGGCAAGAGTAAAAAGTAAACATAATTCTGTCCTTGGCAATCTTATGATGTAAAGAAAATGGTGGTAGGATGGGGACAATTGCAATCTTGCTCCAAATTATAACGATCCTTCAAGAGAATGTAAAGTAAATTCATAGTGCTTTGTCACTGCTGCTTGGTAGATAATCTGCTCTGGCTGTGATATTGTGGCATTGAGGCTTACAACAGCGAACACAGGAGTCTGGTGTGATGCTCTAGGACAAGCACTGGACCACAAGGTCAGTTTGAAGCACAAGTCAGCAGTTCAAACTCACCATCTGCTGCTTAGAAACCCTATACAGGGTTGCTGTGAGTTGGAACTGAATCGACAGCACTTAACAACAACAACCATCAGTGGAGCAGATCCTGTTAGATTAATTCTGAGCTACCAGGAAGAAAAATGAAAAAGACCAAAGTTCTCCTAAAATAGTGTGTACAATTTTAATGATAAAATCATGCTTCCATCCATGACTGAATTCAGAATCTTTTGGCAAGTCTGAATCCCCCAAATACCTGCCTTATATCCAATAATCATGATGTTCAAAATGCCACTGTTATAATTTCTTTGGGTTAAGATTAATGATGATGAAGCTCCTACAAATTATTGGATGCTTACTATGTGCTTTATTGTATTGTATTGAAGATGTTTACCTGTTATTGTATTGTATTGAAGATGTTTACCTGTGCTTTATTGACTACGCAAAGGCTTTCAATTGTGTGGATCATGACAAGCTATGGACAACATTGCAAAGTATGAGTATTCTGGAACACTTAATTGTGCTCATGAGGAATCTGTACCTGGACCAAAAGGCAGTTGTTCGAACAGAACATGGGAACACTGAATGGTTTAAAATTAAGGAAGTTGTACGACAAGGTTGTATTCTTTCACCACACTTATTCAACTTGTATGCTGAGCAAATAATCCGAGAAGCTGTGTTCTATGAAGAAAAACGTGGCATCAGGATTGGAGGAAGACTCATTAACAACTTGCGATATGCAGATGATACAACCTTGCTTGCTGAAAGTGAAAAGGACTTAAAACATTTAAGATCAAAGAGGACAGCCTTTGGTATGGATTACATCTCAATGTAAAGAAAACAAAAATCCTCACCACTGGACCAATAAACAACATTCTTATCAATGAGAAAAGATTGAAGTTGTCAAGGACTTCATTCTTCTTGGATCAACTATCAACACTCATGGAAGCAGCAGTCAAGAAATCAAACAACGTATTGCATTAGGCAATCTGCTGCACAAGACCTTTTAAAAGTGTTGAAGAGCAAAGATGTCAGTTTGAGGACTAAGGTGCACCTGATATTTTCAGTAACCTCATAGCCTTGTTATTTTCAGTAACCTCATAGCATGCGAAAGCTGGACAGTGAATAAGGAAGACCATAGAAGAATTGATGCTTTTGAGTTGTGGTGTTGGAGGAGAATACTGAAAGTGCCACAGGCTTCCAAAAGGACCAATAGATTGTTTTGAAAGAAGTGCAGCCAGAGTGCTCCTTGGAGGCCAGGATGGCCTGTCTTCGCCTCTCATACTTCGGAAATGTTGTCAGGAGGGCCCAGTCCCTGGAGAAGGATATCATGTTTGTTAAGGTGGAGGGTCAGAAAAAAAGAGGGAGACCCCCCAACAAGATGGATTGGCCAAGTGGCAGCATAGATGGACTCAAGCGTGGCAATGCTAGTGAGGTTGGCTCAGGATCGGGCAGTGTTTCATTCTGCTGTGCTTAAGGTCGTTATGAGTCAGTACCAACTTGATGCCACCTAAGAACAACTATGTCGTTTGTATTATCTCATTTAATGCGCACAATACTATGGCATAGCGTGGATATGAAATGTCTTATTGCTATTAACATTTAATCAATTTTGGCTAATTTGTACCAAAGTGGCTTTTGAAAAGAAAAGTGAATATGATCTCATTCTGTGTTTATTGTGGTTGGTTGGCTGTGTGCCTTCAAGTTAGTTCCAACTCATAGTGACCCTGTATAGGGTTTCTGAGGCTACACATCTTTACAGGTGCAGAAAGGCCTCCTCTTTCTCCTGTGGAGCAGCTGGCAGATTCGAACTTCTAACCTTGTGGCTAGCAATTCAGCCCATAATTCACTATTCTTTGGAAATTTCTAAATGTGAATGCAGTGATTCCTAATCCTGTCTGTGTATTAGCATCTCCTGGGGAGTTTTAAAAATGGATAAGCACTGCATTACTGTATACTGCCACTCCAACCTGAATGTACCGGATAATGTCTGATTTTGGAAGCTAAGCAGGGTGGGGCTTGGTTAGTACTTGGATGGGAGACCACCTGGGAATACCAGGTGCTGTAGGCTTTTAGAGTCCTGGTGTGGCACTGTGGGTTAATGTGCTGTACTACAAAGTCAGTCTAAACTGCAAGGTCTTTGGAACCCACCAGTTGCTCTTTGGAAACCCTGTACAAGGTTGCTATATGTCAGAACCTACTCAACGGCACTAAACACAGCATAACACTAACCTATGGTTGGTGGCTCAAACCCAACGGCCACTCCTCGGAAACCCTATATGATATGAGTCTGAACTGACTTGATGGCCCACAATAACAGGTCTTATCCCCAATTCTGAGTCAACTGTCTGACAAATATTGCTCAGGGGGAGAGAGGTCTTAATAGGAAATTTCACATGTTGTGATTACTGTAACTCTTTTAGAGAGTCTCTCTTAGACCAGTGCTTCTCAAAGTGCATACAAATCCCCATAAGATTTTACTAAGCCACACATTCGGAGTCAGTGATGCCCAACTGATGATCCAAAGAGCATATTTTCAGTGGTAAGTGCTGTGAAGGAAAGGAAGCATGGGGTGTTGAGAATGCAAATGAGTTTACAGGGTATTGAGGAAGGATGTAATAAAGACATGCAAACAATAAGTGTAGTGGATTCTTTTGAACAGTTTAGTAACAACAAGGAAATTAATGGTAAAATATCTTCAAGAATAAGAATAACTTGTTGTTATTGTTAAGTTCTATGGAGTCAGTTCCAACTCATAGAAACTCTGTAAAGGGTTTCCTAGGAGTGGCTGGTGCGTTTGAACTGCTGACCTTGTGGTTTGCAGTCCAGTGCTTATCCTACATGTGGCACATCAGAAATTCAATAATAGCCTAGGGAAGAATCCTTCTGGATTTTATTATGAATTGAGTGAAAATTCACAGAGAAAATCATCAATTTTACATTCAACAAATCATATGCTTTCTTTCACCTCAACGATGGTAATCCCTTCTGTGTAACAACAGTTTACCCACTTCCTCCCTGTGGTTCTTATTTCCATTCCACCCCCCTTTCCATCCCTTCTCCACTTTACCCTTTTGATTTTGAATGATTGACTATCCCATGGTGAGCATATCCTACTATTGTTGTTGTCTAGGTATTTGTTGTATATACAGATCTACTACTTGGCTGACAATTGGGCCACGAGGGTGAGTTCTCTTCCAGACCTGAAGGGTGGTCAAGGGACATACTCTCAGGTTCCTCCAGTCTTTTTCTGACCAGTAAGCCTCATCTTTTTAAAAAATAATTTTGAGTTATGGTCCACATTTTCTTCCACTCTATCTGAGATCTTCTAATGTAATCCCTTTCAGAGAAGTTGGTAGCTGTAGCTGGGGACCATCTAGTTCTTCTGGTCTCAGAGTCATGGGGACTGATGTCCACATGTTCCATTGGTCCATTGAACTAGTTGATTCCAAGCATATTCAAATTTTCAACATGGGAAAAATCTTTTTAAGGTAGAGAAGAGTCATGCATATTTTGATACTGAAGGAAAGAACTAATAAAATATTGAAGATGTAAGAGGAACAAAGTGAACAATTGATTACTAACATTTTCAGGATAGAAAGGATGAGAAGTTCAGGTGAAACTATTAGTACTAAAAAGAAGGAAATGAAATATTAATGCAGAAATAAAGACACAGGAGGAAGAGGTAACTGGTATTGTCTATGTTGGATGACTTTATGTTTTTTCGGTGGTATGGATGATGGGTTTTTAAAAGGCAGGATAAATGGAGTATATGTCAGTTTAACACCTGTCATATAGAAGAAGAATGGGTAATCTTGCTCAAGTGCAGGGGAGATTAAGGTAATCTGAGTTAAAACATCAAGGAATTATGAAGCTAGGAATTGGGTGGGTTATTTATTTGAATCTTGGTAACTCCCATATATTGTTTATTGATTATAAGTAAGTCAAATTGCAGAACATGTGAGGAGAGGCCTAGGGAATCATATTTTACAGTTGAAGTGCCTGGATGGTGCAAACTGTTAAGTGTTCAACTACAAACCAGATGGTTAGCAGTTCAAATCTATCCAGAGTAACCTGGGAAGAAAGGCCTGGGGAGATACTTCCTAAATATCACAGTCATTGAAACTCTATGGAGCACAGTTCTATTCCAACAGACATGGGATCACTGTGCATTGGAATCATCTCAAAAACAGCTGATTTGGTTATTTTTATCGTCTGTCCTTTTCACACATTTGCATTTACTTGCTGTGATTCTTAACTCTTTACTGAGAGAAGGATCGTAGAGCTCAGGTGGAAATGACTCAGTAACCTCACAAACCATTTTTAGGAACCTTCTAGCACTTTCTTTAAGGCAGCCTTCATTTCTTTATTCCGGAGACTGTAAATCAGGGGGTTGAAAAAGGGGGTCAAAACAGAGTAGAACAGAGTAGTGAACTTCTGCATGCCCTCTGCTTGTCCCGACCCTGGGCTCACATATGTTATCATGACAGATCCATAGAACAGAAACACTACAGCCAGGTGTGAAGAGCAGGTAGAGAAGGCCTTTTTCCGGCCAGCAGCTGAGGGCACCTGCACGACGGCCCTGAGCACCAAGGTGTATGAGCCAATAATGTAGGCAAAAGTGGCAAAGATGAGAAGGGAGCTCATGGTACCACATATGAGAACAGTCCCTGGGACAGGGACACAGGCTGAAGCCAGAAGCAGCAGAGGACCCAGGTCACACAGAAAGTCATCAATTACATTTGGGCCACAAAATGGCAGCTGGGTAACAAGTACCACTGGAATTAGAAACCAGAGAAAGCCATACACCCAGCAAAAGATGACCAGGCTGCTACAGTATTTAGCAGTCATGACTGTGGGGTAGTGCAGTGGGCGGCAGATGGCCAGGAACCGGTCATAGGCCATGATAGAGAGAAATAAGCATTCTGTTGTGCCCAGTGAGAAGAAGAAGTACAACTGGAGAAGGCACTGAGTGAAGGAGATGGTTTTGGTCTTGGAGAGGAAGTTGACCAGCATGTTGGGCACATCAGAGCTGACGTAGCAGATTTCCAGGAAGGAGAAGTTGGCCAGTAGCATGTACATGGGGGTGTGGAGTCGGCGATCCCAGTGCACAGCACACACAATAGCCATGTTTCCGAGGAGGGTCAGGATGTATGTCACAAGGAATATGGAAAAGAGGAAGAGCTGTATTTCCCAGTGGGAGGAAAAGCCCAAGAGGATGAACTCACTCACAGTAAGAGAAACATTTCTGACTTCTGAGGTCATTTCCTTTTATCCTGTGAAGAATGCAGCAGAAATTATATTTTATAAAGGGCATTATAGCTCCTGACCCCTCCATAGAAGAGTGAGTTCTCTAAAGACAGGGAGAAGGTGGAGACCAGTGGCTTTTATTTTTAAAGAACTGGACATCTAACAATACAGAGTTGAGCATTTTCCTTTTCATATGACTATTTACTTACAAATTATATCCAATGCTGTTGAGTGGATTGCTACTCATACTGACCCTATAGGACAGACTAGACCTGCCTTATAAGGTTCCAAAGTTGTAAATCTTTATAGAAACACACTGCCACACCTTTCTCCTATAGATTTTATACACACACACAACTGTCAACCAATGTTGTAAATATTGGCAAAACTTTTTGAAAAGTTTCTTAGAATTAAAATGAAAACAGAAATTAAAATATTTCCTTCCTTTTGGGGAAGGAAGCTTGGAGCGGATCAGTCTAGGACAAGTTAATCCTTACAAAAATTCTATTATCTTGTTTTGGACTTTCTCAATTATTTTTTAGGGAATCAATAGCAAAGATAATTACTTCTGTTTCATATATGAGGAGATGAAGGTTCAAAGCTGTTAAATGTCTGAGGCCTCAACCAAAAATAACAAAGGCCAAGAGTTCATGCTTTATAGCTTCTAGTTTACTCTTTTCTCACTATGTAAAAGGACTTTTAGTGTCAGTGTCTAATATGGTAATCCCTCTCCTCCCAAGGAAAAAGTGCATCCAACTAATAAAATAAATCATGTTGGTGCTTTTGACATCATATGAAGGGGAGGAGGTGGAGTCTTTAAGTACCTTTCATATCACACCACTTAGGTGGAATTGTAGTTTTTTTCCCCTTTTGTTTTTATTTTCAAACATATCAGGATGGACCAGTCCTTGGAGAAGGACATTATGCTTGATAAAGTGGAGGGTCAGCAAAACCCCACAACAAGATGGTTTGGCACAGTGGCTGCAGCAATGGGCTAAAGCGATTGTGCGGTTGGCTCAGGACTGGGCAGTGTTTTGTTCTGTTGTGCCTAAGGTCACTATGGGTTGATACCAATTTGATGGCATCTAACAACAACAATATAAATAACAATGTGTTTATCATATGTACACAGTCTGTTAGGATTATGAACATGCATTATCCTTGTTAATACTTCAACAATGACAGATGCTCTAATCAGCACAAGACACCAAGTAACTTCACTGGGCAAGTTTTGTGTTCTTTCTTCTACACTATACTGATGCTCAGAATAAGTCTACACAGCCGTCCTTGAATATATTTTAGGAAAATACTTGTGTCTTCTTTGAATCTTTTCTTTTTAGACTAAGCACTTTTGATTTCTTTAACTGAATCTGACACAATTTCCAGGTGTTTATCATCCTGGTTGACTTCCTTTTATTGGTCAGGTACTTCTGAAAGAGTGATGTTACTAACTGATCTTGCAGTTCCTGATATTGTTTGACTGATTAAGAGAAAAGTGATACTATAAAGGCCCTTGTTTTAGAAACTCATGCAGACTAAAGTTAACATTAACTTTAAGGTCTGCAATTTTGCACTTTTGATGTATTGAGCTTGTTTTTTTTTTTTTACCAAAGTCCTTAGTGTGTGCACACAAGAGCTTTTTAAGAACCATATTGTCCTTCTGTAATGCTTGTGCAGTTGGGTTTTTGAAGTGTGGAATGTTAATTATGGAATTTTACCAAGTATTTCAGTTAATTAAGATCTTTGATGATGCATGGCTAACATTGCCAGATGGTGCTCAGCTAACACTACCAATTGCTCTAAAGGAGATCACATTGGAAGGTCTGCTATAGAGTGGCCAAATATATGCAAAAAAGCTCAAACTTATTTAAAAAACAAAAAAGAAAGAAAAAGATCAGTCTTAACTGGTCAGAAAGCGACTGGAGGAACCTGAGACTATGGCCCTTTACCACTCTTCAGGTCTAGAAAGACCACTCAGCCCTTTATCACTCTTCAGGTCTGGAAAGACCACTCAGCCCTTTACCACTCTTCAGGTCTGGAAAGACCACTCAGCCCTTTATCACTCTTCAGGTCTGGAAAAGAACTCACCCTGTGGCTCAACTTCCAGTCAAGCAGTAGATAGGTATATAGGGGGAGGTATGCTCAATATGAATCATTCAAAATCAAAGGGGAAACATGTACCTAAGGACAAAGGTGAGAAGGGATGGAAAGGAAGGCATGTGGAATAGAAATAGGAGCCACAGGGAGGAAGCAGGATAACTATTATTCTTTGGAGGGGATTGCAATCATTGAGATGAAATAGTGTATGATTTGTTGAATGTAAAACTGATCATCTTGCCTGTAAACCTCCATTTAGTTCACCAAAAAAGTTAAAAAAAATATTTTTAGGCTTGAGGTTGATTTTCAAAACATTAGCTATCTTTTCTATTTTTACTGTCCATAAGTCTGATAAATATTCCTTGTGTGTGCATAATTTATATTTACTGAGATTTTAGGTAGAACATAAGGAAATGCTTTGCCATGCCACTTAAACCTCCTTCTAGGTGAACAGATTATACTAGACAATTATAGATAGATACAAAGCTACAGATAGATAAATGGCTAAAGAAAAAGATGGTGAAAATAATGCTGTAGTTCTAGACAACATTCCAACATATGTTATTAAACAGATGGTTCATAAAAAAATTTTTTTTGAAACAACTTCCAGATTTTTACCTTTGTGCCATTAAAAAGCTGGTTGTTCATTGTCATCAAGTCATTCCCGACTCATAGCCACCCTGTACAGGGTTTCCAAGGAGCAGCTGGTGGGTTTGAACAGCTAACCATTTGGTTTGAAATCCAGTGCTGATCCTATAGTGCCTCACCAACAGTCCAAAAAACTGGCACCCTTGCTCAATTTTAGGTTACATTTTTTTTTTCTTTCATTCTCCAGAATTTGACAAAAGTTTACGGAGTGCCTATTGTATCCTCATACACTTTTCAATGCAATGGATATTTTACCTGAAGGGTAAAATGTTTGAAAAATTAGAAATACTATTGTTTTCCATAGAGATAAGGGGCAATTTTTGGAATGAATTTACAATAGTATATATTCTGGAAGTTTAATCTATAATCTTCATATTTTAATATCTTAATTTAAATATGAAAGCTGTATTTGTTCTTTTGCTTTATCAAATTAGCAAAGATAAGAAATTGTGATGAAGGTGCATGAAATGATAGTCAGAAAAATTGTTAGAAGGAATATAAACAGGAAAAAATTTCTTTTTGGCAGGCAATTTAGAAATCCCCAGTCTTTGAAACGTTTATACCTATTAAATGTAAATTGTAGGTTAAGTGGTTAGGTGCTGTCATGTTGGTTCCAACTCATATGGTTTCCCAGTAGTGACTGATGGGTTTGAACCACTGACCTTGAGGTTTGTAGTCCAATGCTTCTCCCACAGTGCCACATCAGGAGTCCAAATATAAATTAGAGGTGTGGAAAACATTAGCAATAAGATGTTTATTATAGCAGTGCATAAGAGCCTCTTGGAAATCATGTTAAAATGCAGATTTTCATTCAGAAGGGATGGGGTGGGACAGGAAATTAAAAATTCCTCAGAAGATAATGATGACCCACTGAATAAACAAAGGTTTATGTGTTCTTTATACTTCATAGAATTCTCTACCTAGACAGGGTTTATAGAGTTCCTGATAAAGACTTATGAAGAAAAAATAAATACATACAATGAAATAGGGAAAAAAATCCTGGAAAGAAACAAAACTGAAAATTAATAGTGGTTAGTAATGCTACCAGTGGTTCCACAGAAGATGAGGTATTCTGTTCCCATAAAGATTTACAGCCTCGGAAACCCTGTGCAGGGTCACTATGAATCGGAACCGACTCTATGGTACTTAACAACAACAACAACAAGTAATGCATGGTTGGATTATGGGTTATTCATTTTCTTCTCATATAGGGTCACTATGAGTTAGAATTGAGTTGATGGCAATGGATTTATAGTTCTCAAAATTTCTATGAATAGCATATATTATTGTTGTGATCTGAAAAAAAAAAACCCCAACACTGTAAAGTATTGTGCTTGAGGGTATTTATTCTTCTATGTCTTTTACCTTCCCTAAGAATTTTGATATTTTTCACTACAGGAATGCTTCAAACCTTGAGGAAGCCTCCTATTTATGCTACGTTTGACTTACCTGTAGGACATCCTCTCTCCTTCACTTGCTACTTGAATTTAAACCAGTGAAGTAGGCCTCTGTTTCATAGTTAGGGAGAAGGGAAAATTCCTAGGGACATTCTGAAGGCTGTATTTTACTTTTGGATGAACAGCTCCATTTCATAAACCCAGGATTAGGAGTAAAAATGAAATTTAAAAAGTTGACTGCAACGTTATGAGGAATGGTGACCATCAGCTTCTGGAGGGATTAGCATTGATACTCTTTTTCTTGTTTGGAGGGAGTCACAATCCCTCTGTCTAGTCTTCTTTTCTAAAAGACATGAAAGGAAAATGGCATTAGTTTGAATTTTATGTTTTGCTTTTCTTTCTTACATTTTATTTTAAGCAGAACAATGCAATTTAGAATAATGGTCACCAAAATTGAGACAATATTAAAAGGATCATATGGATGTGACATAATTCTCAATCTTCTCATTTTCTTCTGCCTTTCAAATGGACAGAATTGGAAATTGATAGTGTCTTTTCTATCAAGAAACTCTAAGATAGAAAGGTACTTCTTTAAACTCATATTTTCAAACTCAAAATCTAACACATACTTTTCCATTTCCCATGTTCATGAAATATGGACATCTGTTCTTTGAAGAAGCAGTTGATTCCAGCACTGACTGGAAAACGGGAACAGTGATGGCAGAAAGTCCTTTCTCTTGCTCTTCATTTCCCCTAAATCTCAGACTTCTGTCCCTGATGCTTTCATTTTGAATGCATTTGGGGATTCTTTTTTTTTTTGTCTCTGTAATACAGGAGAAAATGAGGCTTTATATTCCCTACTTCCTGCTCTGC